TTTTGGAGTCAAGTCTTTGCTGATCTTTGCCCATGTTAATTTTTGTGTGTGTCTGTCAAGGCTTCACCCACCCATTCATTCTGGCTGCACCCACCCCCGCTGAGATTTTGCATTTCTATTCTAGATACACTGAATCAGAACCTGCATTTTAACAAGGTCCCCAGTTGACTCTTAATGAGCCCCAGGTGTTCCTTCTGGATTATAAGACAATATAAAGAGGCAACGGAGAGTTCTCAGGGAAGGGTAAAATTTCACAGCCCAGTCTCCAAGCATACAATTTTTCATAAATGTAATGAAGTCCTTTAACAGTGCTATTAAGCAAGTGTCAGCATCTCTATTTTACAGAGGATGGAACGGAAACTCAAAGAATTTAGATATTTGCCCAAGATCATTCAGCGAGGAAGGGGCAGAAGTTAGAGTCAAATCTGGTCGTGTGTGAATTTTTAATGGTGTTTCAAAGCTGGACAGAAATCCTATTTTTATGAATTAGCTTGATATTGATTTAACCACACATACTCATTAGCTCTACACTAATCGTTCCTCCCCTGGAAGAACTATACTTCAAAAGGACTTAATGGTGAGACATTCTTAATGTGTTCATCACAATCCGAGGAACGTAGTACAAAACTAGGAATGTGTAAATATACTTTTATGAAAAAAGAGAAAAATGTGCATCTTTGAAATCATAGAAAAATTCTCAAAAATACTTGACTGTTATGGCAACCTATTTATTTTCCTAACTGAGGTAAGTTTTGCTCCGTTTTGAAAAAAGACACTATAACTCTGAACATATAACAAAATAGAAGAGCTCTAACAAATTTATGGTATTAACTGTTTCTACTATTTGTGGGAGTCAGTCTTTCTCAGCTTCCTATTGTTTTTCTTGGTCTATTCTCCTTTGTTTATGGCAATGGTCCACAAACTTGCAGAGCCAGAGAGGCACATTTTTATCACCCACAGCAAAATGTCCCAGATAATTTTTCTCTTCCCCCCCCGAGATAATGTCTTACGTCTCTACTCTTGGGACATCAGTTCCAATATTCTTTGGAGAGTTGATCTTTTCAGTTTCAATGACATTTTAAATGACTATACCAAAACCAAGGAGCCTCAGCTTGGATTGCAGTGGGTTAAACACTGGGCTGCTAACTGCAAGATCAATGGTTCAAACCCAGCAGCCACCCCTCAGGAGAGAGGTTTGCTCCTGTAAAGATTTGTAGTCTCGGAAACCTTATGGAAGAGTTCTGCTGTGGAATATAGGGTTACTATGAATTGGAACTGACTGGATGGCAGTGGTTTTAGGTTTTAGCTTTTAGTTTTTCACCACAATCATCTTGATAGGAACTGTACATTTGCCAGACAATACACATTTAAGATCTTCATATTTTCAAGCGACATTTTTTTGAAATTAAATCATTCATTATAAGTACTCAGTATTTTTCTTTTTATATCTAATTTACTTGGTTGTTTTTATCATGAAAACCCCAAGGGTTTTACTGAATTCCTACACAGCTCCTTGAAGGGATGTCTCATTCACCATTTTCTCCCTAACACCCAATCACTCACATGTTGCGGTCCTTGTTTTTGATAAGTGCCAATGAGTGGGCTCTGACCCATGGTAACCCCCGTGCAACAGAACGACGCACCACCAGTCCTGCACCACTCTTACAATTGTTATGTTTGAACCCGTTGTTGCAGCCACTGTGTCAATCCATCTTGTCCCGGGCCTTCTTCTTTTTCACTGTCCCTCCACTTTCCCGAACATGATGTCCTTTGCCAGGAACTGGTCTTTCCTCTTGGCTCTGCTATGTGCATCAGGGTAGAACTGCGCTCTTCAGGATTTTCAATAACTATGAACTTTCAGAAGTCGATAGGTATGCCTGTCTTCTGCTGATCCACTGGGCAGATTCCAATAGCCACGTTTTTTTGGCTAGTAGCCCAACGCAAATGATTTTCACCACCTAACACAAACGTTTGTTGACTAGATTCTGTATTTTTCTCCCACTGCTAAGGAATGCCTTTTTATATTTCAAATCTAAAACTTCCTTGCTAAGTTTAGAGGACACTTTCCTCAACTCCCAGCATAATCACATTTTAGCAAAAGGGGGGAAAAATCACACAATACAAAATAAGAAAAACCTGACCAAAGTGTTTTGGGGCACGTGCTTTCAAAAGCCAGCTTCATTGACTTTTAGTACTTCAGCAGGGAATCTTTTCACTGAATCCCATTTTTCATTTATCAGGGGACATGACAACAGTGTTATTTAGTGAGGCGGGACCCTGTGGTGTTTTGTGCAGTTGTGCACATGGTCACTGTGGGTTGGAGCTGAATTGATGGCACCTAACAATAACAATAACATTTTCCTAAAAATGTGATGCTATGTGTCAACAGACTGCAAAACATGTTTAGACGGACTGCAAAGAAGCCCTGGTGGCATAGTGGCTTTTGCACTGGGCTGCTAACCAACAAGGTTAGCAGTTTGAAACCCACCAGTTTTCCATGGGAGAAAAAGGTAGCAGTCTGCTCCCCTAAGGATCACAGTCCTGGAAACCTTTGGGGGGCAGTTCCACTCTTTCTTAGAGGGCTGCGAGGAGTTGGAATTGACTCAACGGCAGCGAGTTCAATTTTGGACACAGACTGCACCTTATGGGGCTTGACATTTTATTATTATTATTTTTTTTGCCTTCACACATTCTTTCCTGATTTCTTTCATAATCCCTGTTGGGAAACAAAGCCATAAAACTCTCTTCAGAATGAAACTATTTCGTGAAATATCGAGGGTTTATAAAACCAAACCAAACCTATTGCTATCAAGCTAAATCTAACTCACAGCAACTCAAAAAGACAGAGTGGAACAGCCCCCCCCTCCCCCCACACCTTTTCCCTCCCAAAGGTTTGCGGGACTGTGATCCTTAGGGAAGCAGACTGCTACCTCCTTCTCCCATGGAAAACTGGTGGGTTTGATGGCCAACACTTCGGTTAGCAGTGCAGCTCTTAACCAGTTCACCACCAGGGCTCCTCAGGGTCTGAAACTAGACCTGTATGACCCAAGAGATGTTGTTTGCCAAGAAAATTAGGAGTCCATTGTTTCATGACTATTCCGTCTAAAATATACAGTAAACGAACATTTTTTCCCCTCCTTACTACTATTTTAAGTTCACTATTAGCTTATAATGCAAACAACTTCGTGTCAACCCATCAACCCCCAAAATGTGTCCTTCACTTTTTTCTTTCTTTTCTACAATTTTTGGTGGTCTGAAGGGAGGAGGTGTATTTTTACTCCTCTCACCAACAGCAGCTTCTGTTCTTTTTCTGACTGTAATGAGACAAATGAACAATCTCGTACTTGTCTGACTCTCTAGGTCAAATATGGAATTCAAAGATACAAAACTAAAATGCAACATTTGGGTACATGACTGCGCTAAAGACCGAAAAGAACAAGATAATGGCAAAATACCGTAACAAGAAATGTTAAATTCAAGATAATTTGTGCATGTACGTGGACTTTGCCAAGATTTTGAAAACGGAGCCATTGTTTCCTTGATTATTACTTTGGATTGTGCTCTAGTCCTCCTCTGCTAGTCTCAATAATTTTCTATCAGCATCTCAGGGTCAGAAGATAAAACAATTCTCTGACGTAATAGCTGGACCCAGGTTGGGCAAAACATATAGATGGAAGGTTATTATTATTTTTTAACTCATTTTCTACAAGAAACTCTTGTATTCCGATCTCTTAATTAATTCTGTGCAATTTTACAAAAGACTCCCCAATCCCTCCAGTTTGCTTTGTGTGCCAATAAATTAATTTAAAAAAATCAATAAATAACAGCCTAAGTAAGCACGATTCTGTGATCGAAGTTTGTGGAATGAACCACTCCCAGTTTTTGTTTTAAATGTTGACTTGGGTATTCTGTTCCTTTGAGGGAGTGGAGACTGTTCCCACATTCGTGTGGAGGATAGATCTGTATTGCAAGGGTGTCCACGTTAAGCCAGGGTCCCCAGTTCGGTTTGTTTGGCAATTCCGCAAAGCGCACGCTGCCTTTTTTTTTTTATTTTAAATCACCTGTTCAGGGTCACGCAAATTGTGCTGCACGCAATCAGCGAGATGGGCAAGAGGGGCCGACCGCTACGTGTCAACCCAAGGACTCGAAAGTCCGTACACCCGGATCCACCTGGGTGTCCTGCAACCCGTGCGGTCAATCGGGGAACCCGCCCTCATCCGGGAGCCCACGCCCGCCCGCTGGAGGCCGGCGGCGCCCGGGCGGAGGCACCGGAAGGAGGAGGTGCTTGGCGCTCGGCGGGCGCGCGCAGGGGCGGGGCCGGGCGCCTATAAACCTGGCGCGGCGGAAAGGGCGGGCCCGTCGGAGCGCTCGGAGCGGGCGCTGCCGCGGAGGGCTGGGCGGGGAGAAGGAGGAGACTGGAGGCTGGAGGAGGAGTCTGGGCAGCTTGAGGAGCCGTGAGTGCAGCGTGGCGCCGGGCGGCCCGAGCGGCTTTCCGGGCTCCCGCCAGCTTTCGAAGGCGGCCCGGGGTGGCGGCGGCGGCGGCGGCCTCTCGGCCTGGGGAGGTGAAGCGAGGCTGCGAGGGCCGAGTCGGGTGCGCAGAGCCGCCGCCGCGGCGTGGAGGCGCGGCTCCGTATCCTCGCGGGCGGGAAGGCGGGGCGGGGAAGGCGGGCGGCCGGCGCGCTCGGCGGAGAGGCTTTCCAGAACTGCACCTGCACGAGTTGGCGGGGCTTCGCGCGGTCCAGCCCTGGGGACCCTGCGTGCGCTTGTTTTGGGGTGTTCCTGAGGGGAGTGGTTGAGGGGTGCTTCGTGCACGGGAGCGAGGCAGAGCCCGGGGCGGCTGACGGGACATCGCAAGGCTGGCCCGGAGGCGCCCGCAAACCGGTCAGGTGTGCGTGTTGTGGCCCGTGTCAACGAAACAACCGAGAGCGATCGGGGTTTCCTCAAAAGTTTGAGAAAATACCTCACTAGAGATGTTCGGTCGTGAAGAAATGGTCTTGAAAACCTCTGGGAGATCACAGGGCACTTAGCTTTCCTGTTGACGCAGCTTGGCGCTTCACGGGAGTGATGGATGGGTAACTGAACGATTTCAGGTTTTTGTGCGTGGTGTGGGATTTTCTTTTACAGCCCACCAACTAGGTTGGGTCCGTGGTAACGTAAAATGGTTCAAACAGCTGTCTTAAAGTCCGTGTATGTGTGCGTGTGTGTGCGCCACGCTGTCTTCACTTGAAGGCGGAGATACTCAGAAAGAATATAGTGTGCCCATTTGAGGAGAGGAGCCCAGAAACCATTGCTTGACTGGCAGGAACATTGAATTCCTGGAAACAATCCCATAGTGTAGATTTTTGACTATGTGAAGTTTAGCCTTCTTGGCTAGTGCTTGGAATAATGGCCTTAAAAGTAGTGGGTCCCCCAAAAAAAGTAGTGGCCAGGATACACACTAAAGTATTTTGAGCCCATTTCTGTGGAAAAGAACTTGGAGGGATTGAAGTTAAATTTTCACTCCTTTTATGTGTAACTTTTTTTTCCTCCCATTTCCCTTTCCAGCCTTACCCATTTCAATGGTGCAACACTCTTCTGGCTACCAGTCATCTTCAGGCAATTCCCAGGAGGAAAGTGTGGGAAATATGAAATCCGCCAAGTCCCAGGTGAACCACAGTCAGCATGGGGAAAACCAGCAGGCCCCAAGTCCCCTGCACTCTATTCTCAGCTCGGCCGTCTCTCCTGCCCAGGCTTATGAAACTTACATTGATAACGGACTCATATGCCTTAAACACAAAATCAGAAACATCGAGAAAAAGAAGGTAACTCTCCCTCTCCCAGAGCTTTGTTGTATATGTTTGGCCTTAAACAAGGCTTAAGAGGCTGGCATTTCTTTTGCTTTATATTAGGGCTTGTAGGGATTTCTTCCTAAATATTTAACCTTGGGACTTAGCTGGCTGAAGACAAATGTATTGAGCATTTTCTGTTTGTCCCCAAAGCTGAATGAAAATATTCTTCATGGTAGGATTTTTATGCATACAACTATTGGAAGTATTGAAGAGCTAGCTATTTTAGGTTTAGATTAATTCATCGAGTGTGATATTAATGTTCCCTTTCATGCATGAGCAGTAACCTGATTTTTTAGCTTGTTTTTCTGGTGGTTTCGGCAGCAGTTCACATTGCAGTACAGTCATTGGGAGCTGGGATCATGGAAGAGCCAGAAAATGCCTTAGCACCAATTTTTGTATTGCTAGCCGACTGCTTATGATTGGTAGGTGAAAGCATTGTAGAAAGCCTTGCTCTTAAAGAGACTCAGAGGTTATTATCAGACTAACATAACAGTAAATGCTGATGTAAGGATCCAAATCCTTATTTCCCAAGTCATGTTCTCCGAAATAGTATCATCCAATGCTTTGTTGTGTCATGATTTCTTTCTGATTATAACAGATAAGGTTGAGTGGCATAGGACCTAGAGCTCCTGGCTCTCTCTAGGTTAAGGCCTAATTAAACCTTAGATTAGTTACTTTTAATAGAAGAATGTGAAGAGGTCTCTTGGCTCTCTTTCTTTTCCTCGTTTGAAGCTAAGAAAGTAGTGAAGGTAATGTGGGTTTGAGTCTATAAGAAGGGCTTGTTACTGGTGACTTCTTGGAAGTCCTAGACTGTTGAATGTGTGCACTGGATCACGATTGTGGTAAGGTGAGTGTCCTTGGATCAGCATCAGTTCCCACTTGGTCCTGGTGGTGCTGTAAGCTAGATAATTGGGTTATTTACTGTAAGGTCTTTGATTAAAACCCACTAGCCCTTCTGCAAGAGCAAGATGAGGCTATCTACTCCCTTAAAATTTTTCAGTCTCAGAAACTCAGTGTACGGTTGCTGGCTATGAGTTGGAATCAATTTGCCGGCAGTGAGTTTATAGGAAAGTAGTCAAAGCTCAAGGATCCCTGATGGCATAGTCGGCTATGAATTGAGCTGCTAACTATAAGGTCAGCCATTTGAACCCACCAGCGGCTTTGAGGGAGAAAGAAGATTATGCACTCTTGTAAAGATTTAAATTCTTGGAAACCTAAAAGGGCAGTTCTATGCTGTCCTATAGCATCACTATGAGTTGGAATCAACTTGATGGCATTGCTTTTTTTTTTTTAAGTCAAATCTCGGGTCCTATCGATGGAGACTCATTAATGAGTTCCACAGTTGGAGGAATTACATATATTAGGGGATTTTGAAAAGTTCATGGAAAAACTTCATTATCTTTTGATCGGAATTTTTAAAACCCCTCTCCTATGTATACATACACTCTCCACCGTAATTCTTTTTTTTTCCCCACCTTAATTCTTTCACTGCCATCAAGTCAGTTCTGACTCAGCAACCCAGTAGGACAGAGTAGGACTGCCCAGTGGGTTTCGGAGACTTTTTACGAGAGTAGAAAACCCTATCTTTCTCCCACGGAGTGGCTAGTGGTTTTGAACTGCAGGCCTTGTGGTTGGCAGCCCAACTCGTAGTCCATTAAAGCCATCAGGACTATTAACTCTAGTACCACTTTAAAAAAAAAAAACATCTCACAGTACCAAACTAAACTTCTAGGAAGGCACTTTAAACTATAAAGCCAAAACAGGATGGGCCTAATAAATGCTTTTAGAATGTCATCATGAGGTCCTAGTGGGATGGGACCAACAAAATGCAATTTATTTGTCATGTATTTCCTTAAATTAAGGACAACACTTATTACAAGAAACAGGTTCAAGATGAGGCTTCTATAGTGCTGGAAAAGATTATGTTTTTATAGTTTTGTTAGGATGGTTCTTGCTGGGTGAATGTCACACAGTTGAACAGGTGACTGAGCTCACGGGCTAAGCATGAGGTTAGCACAGGACTTCTCAACCCCGAGGAAGCATGAGTGGTGTAGTGGTCTACTTGTGACTGCTGACTCGGTGGCAGACAATTCTTGTTGAGGGAGAGGGCAGTGTCTTATGCATTGTAGGATGTTTGTCAACATGCCTCTCTATATCACAAGATGCTAATAGTACCTTTTACATTTCCCCCCCACAAGTTGTGACAACCAAAATTGCATTCAGACACTGCCAGAGACCCTGAGGAACAAAATTACTTCTGATTGAACTCTGGGATTAGTAGCATATCACTGGATTAACTTAAGTCCTTATATATTAGTCTAATTATTGCTTAACTTGTAATTCTAGACTAGTAATTGTATGTGTTATATGGGATGGAACGCATATACTGGTTACTGGTTGACTTGTAGTGAAATAGTCTTTCAGAGTAATAGATTATAGTAAGAGCTTTGCTTTCATAAGAAACGAGATCAGGTTTTCATTTACTTCCGAATTCATATCAGACCATAGTAGATACAAGAGGACCCCTGGTGGTGTGGTGGGTTAAGCATTGGGCTGCCAGCCATAAGGTCAGCAATTCAAAACCACCAGCCACTCTGAGAGAAAAAGATGAGGCTTTCTGCTTCGAAACCCACAGGGGCAGTTCTCTGCCCTATAGGGTTGCCGTGAGTCAGTGGCAGTGAGTTTGGTTTATAGTAGATAGAAACAGCATGCTCAGTTTCTAACCATAAGGCTGATAGTTTGAGTATGCCCAGCAGTGTTTTGGAGGAAAGGTTAGGTGATATGCTTCCCCAGAAATCAGCCATTGGAGACTCAAGTAGCACTGCTATCCTCTGGCACCCGTGGTGGTCACCGTGAGTCTGAATCTACTCAACAGCAACTATTTGTTTTTTACAGTTGATTTCTCTTTTGTAGCTCAAATTGGAAGATTACAAGGATCGCCTGAAAAATGGAGAGCGACTTAATCCAGACCAGTTGGTAAGTGAATGATGGTAAATTGTTAAGCCCTTCTGGTTTACTTAATAAAATTCAAGGTGGATTGGGTGAGACCAGAGACTTGATGAGCTAAAACAGAGTGTGAATCCACTGGCTTTGTCTTCTTTGCTTAATAGATCTCAGATTCGACTTTTTTTCTCTTGTACTCAGAGATGATATGGGTGGTAAGAAGTGAGGTATTAAATAGGGGTAAAAATGTAGTTTATCACTAAGATTTAATGAAGAGTTAAAGCTACCCTAGGTTGGACTCAAGAAGTGAAGGGAAAACTCTAGCTTTCAAGTTGTCACTGGGATATTCTAAGCCTGACATCTTTCTGCTCTAAAACATATAGCTTGCTATGGCTTTCTCTAGTTGCTTTTCTAGGAGATGAGTTCATTTGATAGATAAAATAAAAAAAACCCAAAACTCAGTGCTGTTCAGTTGATTCCAACTCAACGACCTTAAAGGACAGAGTAGAACTGCCCTGGAAAAGTTTCCAAGGTTGTACTTTACAGAGGAAGCAGTCTTACCACATCTTTCTTCCTTGGAACTTCTTTCTGGTGGATTCAAAGTGCTCACCTTCTGGGTAGCAGCCAAGTGCTTAACCACTGTGCCACCAACACTCCTTTTCTGATAGCTAGCCGATCTTTTTTTGGTTTGTTTTAAAACTTATTGTGAACATTAGACTTAGTACATTAAAATGCACATATATACACACACACACACATACACACATGTGTATGTATATATTTAACTTGTCCTTGACAATTACAACTTAAACTAATTTGGTGAAGGTGGTTTTTTGTAATTAATGCATAGGTTGCTTCATTGATATCTTCCACTTGGACCTGATCACTTTTCCTGGCTAAGCAGGGACAAAATTAGTCTAAAATTTGTTTGTTTTTTATTTTTCTCTCTCTTCAGGTTTCAGAGTTACTGTTTGTTACTTTTGTCCTTAAAGGTATGGCTAACGTTTTTGGTTTTATGTCATTGATACTGGCATTCAAGGACTTTTCTTTGCCTTGCCACATTGACTCTTCTACACTGACCAGAATTTTTGTGACATGCTGAGCTGTAAGATTGTCAAGGGATAGATTTGAATTGTGTGAGTTAGGGAGATGATGTAATCACTTAGATGGTGAGAGAACCTAACTTGGGCAAAGGGTTCCAACATGGGTTTATTTTCAGGTAATTAATTCTAATAGTAATAAACCTTATCTTTGCATAAATGTCCCTGAATGTTCAGTTAGTAGTTTTTATTTTGAGTGAAGGGGTTGGTGGGTGATGATCATATGGTAGCTCCCCAAGAAATGTCAAGGACATGCTATATTCCAAAGCTTTAGCAAAGAAAAATTTTATCTTAATATTTTACTATGTCATCATAAGTATTTACCCATGTCTATAGTATGTATAAATATATGAACTGTGTTTTCTCCAGTGATATGCTAACAACTGGCACATTTATATTATCAAGTGATTAGTTCTCTGAACTCTAGATTGTTGTGTCCTGTTGCCCTTTTAATATCTCCAGATTTCTTTTCCACCCCACAACCTGGTTGGTTTTTTTTCTCAGTCTTGGCTGTGTCTTTTCTGTGTGTTGTACATAAGGTTGTTCTGAGTTGGACCTACTGAAGGTACATAATAATGTCAGTAACTGACCTGATCAATTGTAAGGATTGGAGTTGTCAAAACCGTTGGAGAATTTCTCATCCTCTTTTTTTTTTTTTAAATCTCTTTCACATGTAACCAACCTGTCAGTAAGCTTGCTTAGTTCTACCTTCAGAAATTCAGAAACTGACTATTTCTAATAAATTCCATCTTTGTCATCCTGGTCCAAGCTTCATCATCTTTCATATGCACTACTACTATAAATGCTTCCTTGTAGGTTTTTAAATTTCCAGCCCTTGTTACTCAGTCATTCTCAGAGTGACCTTAGTGACCTTGTTGAAATGCAAGCCAGAGTGCCATTCGTCTGCTTAAAACCCACCATGGGGCTAATGAGGTCCTACAAAATATGCCTTTTCCTTCCTTTTACATCTTTACTGCATTTTCTGCACTTCTCCCCATTGCTAGCTCCATTCCAGCTATTCCTGAAATAACATACTTCTATCCAGGGCTTTTGCATAGGCTGTTCCTACTACCTGAGATGCTCTTCACTCAGTTATATGAAAGGATTACTTCCTAACCTCCAGGTTTTCTTTTTCCCCCTCCCCAAACTTTTTATTGTGAATTAAAGTGAAGGTTTACAGAGCAGTTCATCCGTTGTACATTCAACAATTTATATACTCCCTTCAGCTTTTTATTTGAAAGTTACCGTAGGCTTACATGATCATAACTACCCTCCCACCTCTCTAACTACTCTTTAGTCTCTTTCTTTGCTTTATTATTTTTCTCATAACAGTTAGCACATCTCTGACAAACTGTTCACTTTTATTTTCTGTCTCTCAGTACGTGAGACAAAGACTAGCTATTCTTGTCTCTAAAGTGCATTCTGGCTATACTTCTTCTAAGACAGATTGGTGTGCCCTTTTAGCAGTCCACATTATAAGTCAAATGCATTGATTCCTCATTGGTCTTCCTTATTCAGTGTCCAACTTTCACATGCATATGAGGCAATTGAAGTAAATACCATGGCTTGAGTCAGGCATACTTTAGTCCTCAAAGTAGCCCCCTGGGTCTTCAGCACTTTAAAGAGGTCTTGTCCAGCAGGTGTTCATACCTTGGAATCCCCATCGGGCAGTTCTCCATCTTACAGGGCAGCTATGATTTGGACTTGATGTAGTGACAGTGGGTTTGGTGTGATTTATCTTTTTATTTTCTTTGGAATGTCTTTTAATGAACAGAAGTTCCTAATTTTTTTTTTTTAAGTTCATAATTTTAAAGTGCAGTTGAACTTCTCTTTCTAAGGCTAGACTGCCTTAAGACACAGAAGGAACTGTATTTTGAGGTTACAGGTCAGTTTTAGTCTAAAAAACTGTTGAGCCTGTAAGTCAATCTCAGACTTGTTATGTACGATAGAAACTTTCTCCTCTAGAGAACTCATTTCTTTCAGTAGCGTTTGCTGTGTAGTCTGTCAGTTCTCTTCTGGTTTGCAGTATTGACTCTCTTGCTTCTGGGTTTCCACATGTGGAGACTATTTTTGGTATTTTTAGGGTTGTAGTGCTCGTATATATATATATATATATATTTTTTGGTATAAGAAGAATTTTATATCAAGAAGTATCTGTATATCAGGAAAACATCCCAGCCCAGTCCAACTCAAGTCTATAAGTCTATTAGTCCATAAGTCCCTCTTTAAAAAAAAAAATTTTTATTGGGGGCTCGTACAACTCTTATCACAAGCCATCCATGGTGTCAAGCACTTTTATACATTTGTTTCCCTCATCATTCTCAAACCATTTGCTTTTTACTTGAACCCTTGGTATCAGCTCCTCATTTTTTCCCCTCCCTCCCCAGTCCCCTCTCTCCTATGAACCCTGGTAATTTATAAATTATTATTTTGTCATATCTTATACCATCTGACGTCGCCCTTCACCCACTTCTCCACTGTCTGTTACCCAGGGAGGAGGTTATATGTAGATCTTTGTAATCTGTTCCCCCTTTCTCGCTCACCTTCCCTCCACCCTCCCCGTATTGCCACTCTCACCACTGGTTCTGAGGGGTTCATCTGTCCTGGATTCCCTGTGTTTCCAGTTCCTATCTGTACCAGTGTACATCCTCTGATCCAGCCGGACTTGTAAGGTAGAATTGGGATCATGATAGTTGGGGGCAGGAAGCATTAAAGAACTAGAGGAAAATTGTATGTTTCATCATTGCTAACTGCACCCTGACTGGATCGTCTCCTCCCTGCTGCCCTTCTGCAAGGGAATATCCAATTTCCCACAGATGGGCTCTGGGTCCCCACTCTGCACTCCCCCTCATTCACAATAGTGCTAGTGTATTAACTTTGTGTCAATGCTATTTTAATTACTGATGCTTTTTATTTGTTTATTTTTGTCTTCAGTCTCACCATCCTGCATTTTATTTATTTTATATATTAAATCATTTTAGATTTACAGATCTAACAATTGTTATAACATATATAACAATCCATAAATCAATTATATCAAGTGAGCTTGCACATATATTGCCACCATCATTTTTATTTTATTATTTTTTTAATTAAATCATTTTACTGGGGACTTGTGCAACTCATCACAATCCACACATACATCCGTTGTGTCAAGCACTTTTGTACATTTGTTTTCCTCATCCTTCTCAAAACATTTGCTTTCTACTTCAGCCCCTGGTATTCGCTCCTTATTTTTTCTTTTCCTCCCCGGAGTTCCCTCTCTCCTTCCCCACGAACCCTTGATAATTTATAAATTATTATTTTGTCATATCTTCACCATCATTTTTAAAACATTTTCTTTCTACTTGAGCCCTTGGTATCAGGTCCTCTTTTTTCTCTCCCCCTCCCACCCTCGTGAACCCTTAATAAATGATATATATATGTATATATTTTTTATATTTTACACCGACTATTGTATCCCTTCACCCACATTTCTGTTATTCATCCCCCTTGGATGATATACATCCATCATTGCTGTCAGTTCTCCCTTATTTCCTCTTTTCCCCTCATGGAATCACTACTCCATTACAGTTTCTGAGGGGTTTATCTGTCCTGGATTCTGTGTCTACAGCTCTTATCTGTACCAAAATACATACTCCAGTCTAGCAGAGTTTATGAGGTAGAACTGGGGTCATGATAGTGGGGGTTGGGGGGGAGGGAGCAGGTTGCCAATAAACTCAGGTATAAGGGAACAACTAGGGATTTAAAATTGACGGTGAGGAGGGTGCAGAGTGCCGGGTGATGTTTGATCAATTGTAACGTAGCCGAGAGGAATTGCTGAGATCCGAATGAACGGTGAACATGATAGTGGGGCAGGAGGAAAGTAAAAGAAAATAGAGGAAAGAACTAGGAGGTAAAAGCTATATATAGAGATATAAACATAGACATGTATATATTTAAATATATTAATATATAAAGGTATAAGGGTATTGGTTTATGTACATGTATTTGTATGCTAAAGTATTCAGGTAGCTGATGGACTTTGGACCTCTACTTAAGTTTCCCCTCAACACAAGAACACTGTGTTTTAATAACCTGGCACTGTGTGTTACTCAACTTCTGGACACAATTGCTGAAGACAAATGGGTACATAAGCAAATGTGGTAAAGAAAGCTGATGGTGTCTGGCTATTAAAAGATTCAATGTCTGGGGTCTTAAAGGCGTGAAGTTAAATGAGTGGCCAGCTAGCAGGGAAGCAACAAAGCCCACATGGAAGAAGCATGTCAGCCTGTGTGACCATGAGATGTGAATGGGATCAGGGATCAGAAGATCAAAAACAAACAGTTACATTGATGTGAAGGAGAAGGTTCATAGTGGAGACCCAAAGCCCATCTGTTGATAATTGGACATTCCCTCATAAAAGGGACACATAGACGGGACAATTCATTCAGAGTGCAGCATAGCACTGACGAAACTCAGAACATTCCTCTAGTTCTTTCCTGAGGCTCTTTAATATGCCTTTATCCGGTTAGGTTTTCTTACTGACTTTGGCTTGAGGTTAGCCATCTTCCATGTAGATTTGAGTTACTGTAAGTCATGAAAAATAAACCTTTTCTCTAATGGTTGTCTGTTCATCTGTGAAAATTTTAAAAACCAAAATTAATCCACTAATTTCCTATAGGGGATTGCTTGTTATTTCTGTTGTAATACTTAGTGATTTTGTTTGCTTTTTCCTATTGAATTAGCAATTATTTTAAGTTGCTTATTTGTGTGATCTTCATTATTGCTACTTGTGTTGTATATTTGAGTAGTGAATAAATATTAACCAGGGACTCTGGAATTAGGGCTTAGATTTATGCTAGAAATTTAATACTGGATTTTTAAATTTAGCTTTCTATAGTTTGGGCTAAATGCCCTTTGATCCTCCTTACTTTTTATTTAGCTAACTACTAAAAAATGCATATATGGCCAGTGGCTAGTTTAGAAAGTCTTATTCTCTGTAGAGGGTCACTAGAGGGTCACTGTGAGTTGGCATTGACTCGATGGCAGTGAGTATTATGCACCAGGAGCACCATTTGGACATACTTGTATTTAGAAGGTCACTGAACTCTGTTTTCTTATCTTGGTAGGAGGCAGTAGAGAAATACGACGAAGTGCTACACAACTTGGAATTTGCCAAGGAACTTCAGAAAACCTTTTCTGGACTAAGCCAAGAAGTGAGTATATCCAGAAACCAGTGAGACACCAACCTTGAAGAGATGTGTCTAATGTGGGTGTGCTGCTACTATCATTTAATCTCTTATGAACTGTTTACTGGAGACAGCGGGATTGTGGTTAGACTCTGACGAACTAGTCTGTTTTTCCAGATTTCTAGAGTCACAAGAGAACACAACTGATACCTGAAGATGACATTGTGTTTAAAGTATGTGTTCTACTGTGTGATATTTCACTAGAGAATTATAAAAGAACATTGAGATGGAGAATAGAACAATGTATACTTATTGAAAGGGTTTAAGAATATAGGCATGTACGTTTATATATTATAGGTTTGTATGCTTATATAGGTTTATTTTTATTTTATTCAACAACTTTATTGGCATATAATTCACATATACAATTCAGTAGTTCACTTACTTCAAGAAAAGTTGTACAATCATTGCCATAATTAGTTAAAGAACATTTTCCTTAATCTTGTACTCATCATTGTTAGCTTCCCATTTCCCTCAACTTCCCCTGCCATACCCAATTAATAATTAAGTCACTGTCTCTGTAGATTAGCCTACCCTGGATTATAATACAGGTTTCTAAGTGTATCATTCAGCATGAGGAAACAATTGGTAGATTCCTTTGAGGGCATGATCATTTATTATGTGGAAAAATTATGATTCATGTTAAATGGAGGGAGTTAAGTCTGACCTCACTACTAATTAGGCTCACTTTTGGTCAGTTCAGAGTTTATGTCTGACAAATGTAATCAGCAATTAAACTGAAATATTTAGCATTTGTTAATGAAGTATGCTTCACTTTTGGGATCTTGGTATTAGAAGGCCTTGTAAAGGTCATGTTTCAATAATTAAGAAAGAGTTTTGTGGGTTTATGCCAGGGATATGGATCATGCCTCATCAGACAATTTTTCCTAGTTACTGTGAACTGAAGTTATTACTCTTTTCAAGACTAATTTAAAATAACATAATAAGTAATCTGTTTTTTTAAAGAATGTTTTTTCCTCTTTTTGTGTAGAGATAAATTCAGGGTTTTTGTTGCTGTTGGTCTTCTTAGTTTTCTACATAAATAAGAAATAGGCTGTGTTGTATGTAGCTCATCATAACATTTGTTCATCTCAAGACAGCATATTCTTCAGCAAATATTTAAGTCTAACACGTCTGCTGGATATTCATGAGCATCAAAGATACAAGGACATGTCAAAAAGTAATGTTACTAGTGTTCTAGTTTATACATTCTATGAGTTTATTGCAAGCAAAATATGTTTAAGTAAGTCTCCTATAGGCAGTGGATGGTTGCAGACAAGTTCTCTCAGTAAGACTCTCTCAGTCTTAGTCTCACTAGAATGCCCTCAAAAAAAGGTCCCAAATGAGAAGACATGGGAAAAATTAGTCCAGTGGACTAATGGACAGGCAAACATCAATCTACATACCCAGAGACCAGAAGAACCAGATGGTGCCTGGCTACCACTGTCAGTTGTCCTGAAAAGGATAGAATTAGAAAGCCCTGGGTAGAATGGGAGGGAAATGTGGAACAAAACCTAAAATAATAAAAGACCAGGCTTACTGGTTGGATCCAGACAGGGGGGATTCCCAGGATTCCTTACTGTAACTGAACTCACCTCAGTTGTAGAATAATCAACCCCCTAAGATCAAAAGAACAGCATTTATCCAAGAACAAAATTCAGAAGGTTAGAAAAGGAGGGAGAATGAAAACAAGAAACACAGAGAGGAAGTGGGGCAATTGATGGTCCATTGAGAGGATTGCGATGCTGAGCTGGAAACAAAATGTGTGTAGATTATTGAATGTAAAACTGATGATCTACTTGGTAAATCTTTTAATTCACAACAAAAAAATTTTTTAAGCCCAATGATAACAGTGGCTTCCGAGGGGCTCTCCTGGGCCAGTTAAATTCAAGGCAGAGAGGTCAGTTCAGAAGGGTGTACCGAGGCATTTTTCCCCCTCAGGACACTACCTGTCTTTTTACTGGAACTTGTTCCCCAATTCCAATCTGTTATGATTTGGGGATATCTCTTGTAGAATCTCAAGTATTTAAAGCACTATCAAAATATTTTAACCCATTTATAGAAAAAATATCTTTAGGTTTATTTTATTTTGTTAATATTCCTATCATGGAAAATATTCAGCCTAATGTTCAATCAAAAAAGCAGTGATGGAGGAAATAGAACTTTAAATTTCATAGTGGAAAGAGATGGTAATATTACAGTTCTTAGCTTCTGAGTAAACTGGGGGATGCTTAATCCACACACAAATTTACTTAAGGGAAGTTTTCCTTAATCTGTTTTAGAAGCTACGTTTTAGGGGTTACAGCTTCATCTAAATTTAGGGGGCAAACGACTGTAAATTTAAGTACTCTTTTTAAAAAACTATTTGCTGTGACTTTTTCGATCTGTTACATTTGTAAGGCATTTTAATCTTTGGTTTTCTGTCCCTTTTATCTTAGCTAATCTTTGGTTGGCAGCTGAACACTTACCATGTTTACTTAAATATCCTTCCTCCGGAACATGGGATTAAAACAGAAACAAAAATATTTAAACTTAAGGCATTATGTTAAAATTTAGGTTGAAAACCTTGATATGTACAAATATGGAAAATAAAATTTTAGGATTAATATAGACATCAGGGATCTCATTGTGTTGATCTTAGAGGTACTAGAAATAGCCTGGATTTGAGAGTCAGATTTTTGGGCTCCCTATTCTCTGGGTACCTGAAAAAAGCCAGTTAACTACCACCCTCTGTGGCATAGTAGTTACACATTGAACTGCTAACCTTAAAATCTGCAGTTCTAAACTACCAGCTGCTCCATAGGAGGAAGACAAGGCTTTCTACTCTTGTGAAGTGTTATAGCGCCAGAAATGCCCAGGGGCAGCCCTACCCTGTCCTCTAGTGTTGCTGTGAGTTGGGATGGACTCGTTGGCAGTGTGTTTGGTTATCGGTTTGGTAGCTAAAGAGAGAGCTTAAAGAATTCTAATATGACAACTCTGTTACATTTCCGAAGTTTATTATCTAATCTCAGCTATTTGAAATTAGATTTTGTAAAGGAAAATAAGTACTTGCTAATATAGGGTGATGGACAGAATTATCGATCCTAATTAGTATTTGTTTTAACAGCTACTTAAAGCTCAGAAGAAGGCCCAGAGAAGGGAACACATGCTAAAACTTGAGGCTGAGAAGAAAAAGCTTCGAACTGTACTTCAAATTCAGTATGTATTGCAGAACTTGGCACAAGAACACGTACAGAGAGACCTTAGAGAGGGCTTGCGTGGCGCACTGTATTTGCCTTCTAAAGAACTTGACTACCTCATTAAATTTTCAAAACTGACCTGCCCTGAAAGAAATGAAAGTCTGAGGTAAGCTAGTGAATAAAAATTTTTTCCATTGAAATAGAACATATAAAACTTAGGCTAGTTTTGTAGTTATATATTTGCAATTAAGTAAGAAAAGATTCATTTGATTTAATATGGGAAACCTTGACTGGCTCAGAACCTGATTGATGTAAAAGAAAGGGAATTTGAATAGTCTCATTTATATGCTGCTTTAGTTTAACACTAGTTTTAAAAATAATGTCTGTCATCAAGCTTTAATACTGTACAATTTATTAGCCATATGTTAATTATGTATATCCCTGATGCATATGCCCCTGCTGGGGGCATAAGCATCGCAGTTTGTTGCTATCACCTGGAAGTGTGCCTCCTTACTCCCCTATACTTAAGTGGAGATAAGTAGAATTTACCTTTCTTAAATTTGTTTATATTTAAAATTAAGCATTAAGCTTTCAAAGTGGGAATTATTTGGTGCACCTATTACACTGTAGATAAAGGCTGAAAAAGAAAACTGATGTCATTTTAGGTATAAAACCATCAAATTAGTGCTGTCAAATAAATTTCTTCTCTTTTGTTATCCGTTTGCTCTTTTTGCTTTGATAAACCAGATAATTAACAGAGCTCTATCCGTTCACTTTGTTAGAAGCAGGATGCTCCAGCTTTGTGTCTCAGGCAGCCATACTGAAGCAGAATCAGCTTTCAGTTGTTAAAAGAAATATGCTCTGGATCAGGACAAAGCCTAGTAAAACTCTTAGTTACCTATAAGTAGCCATCTATTTTTCATTCCCATGCAGATAGTCTCTGACACTATTCCCTATCTGGTACTTCTTCACTTTGATAGGGTCAGAGAATGTAACTTACTTTGATATATGAAAAGTAGACAAAACATGATTTGAAAAGTAGGTTGCTCTCTCTGTAAAATTAAATGTATCTTTTAAGATTGCAATTAGTCTCTCTTTATCTAGGACATATTATTTTTCATGAATACTACATTGACAGAATTTTTTGCTCTATTTTTGTAATAATCATATTTTGTATAAAAAAAAATTAGTTGTTTCCAGAAAAAAATGCTTTCATTTGAAATCCATGAACAGAGAACCAGTCACCTTTAATTTTCAATTTCCAAAGGAGTAGGCAGAATTAACATGTGAATGTCTCGACTCTGAATGGGTTATAATGTGTAAATTTACTCCTCCAGATATACTTATATATTTATATACGTAAACACACATATGTATTTACTTCTAAAGCCACTTTGTTCTGCTGCTGCTTTTCCTTGTCAGTGTTGAAGACCAGATGGAGCAGTCATCCCTGTACTTTTGGGACCTTTTGGAAGGTAGTGAGAAAGCAGTTGTAGGAACGACATGTGAGTTTTCTCTATTCTGGACATATACAGTAAAAACTAAACTTTATATTTCGAGGGCCTAAACTGTGTCAGTCCACCAGAACTTACATGTCTGACAGTACTGTATTCATCTGGAGAGTAATCTTTTTTGTTTGGTTCTGTTAAAAACAACAATCCGTGCTCGCTTCAGCAGCACATATACTAAAAACACAACTGTTGCCTAATTGTACTCATGGATTTGAAGGAGAATTTTGAAATGACAAGTCAATATGATTTGGGAGTAAGTCTTGAATACTAGTGCTGGCTTCAACACTCACTAGACTAGTATGGGATTCACTTACATACTATATTCTTTAAAGTAGAAGTAGTAACTGTTCTATTTAAGAATTTAAATTCACATAATGTGAATATCAAGGCTTATCTCGATCAGCCTAAGAAAATATGAATGGTTTGATACAGTCTGTTGATGAAGTATTATGGGTAGTGATCTGGAAAAAGGGAACCCTTTTGCTTTCTTAAATGGCCTTTGGGAAGATGACCCAAGTACACATGTTGAACATGAAGTACATAGTTTTAAGTATTAGTGTAAAATTAGACCTATATCATCAAGTTGATTCCAACTCCTAACAACCCATACAGGGTTTCTAAGACTATGAATCTTTATGGGAACAGATAGTCTCATCTTCCTTAGGATAATGAAAACTCACTAGATGCTGTTAAATATTTTTATTGCTAATGATTAGGTACCATGGCAATCTAATTATGCATAGCGACAAATAGTCTTAGGTCATCCAAATTTAAATCACAAAATTAATTTCTAGGGTAGAGTAAAAAATAATACTAGCACTTTGGCAATTTCTTATGAAACTAAACATATACTGTATATATTCGTGTATAAGCCGAGATTTTTTTAACTTAAGCATTTTATTGGGGGCTTATAAAACTCTGATCACAATCCATACAACGATCCATTGTGTCAAGCACATTTGTACATTTGTTGCCCTCATCATTCTCAAAACATTTGCTTTCTATTTGAGTCCCTGGTATCAGCTCCTCATTTTTCCCCCTCCCTCTGCACCCACTCCCCTCATGAACCCTTGATAATTTATAAATTATTATTTTGTCATATCTTAACATTGTCTGATGTCTCCCTTCACTACTTTTCTGTTGTCCGTCCCCCAGGGAGGAGGGGAGGAGGTCACATGTAGATCCTTGTAATCGGTTCCCCCTTTCTGCCCCACCATCCTCTACCCTCCCCGTATTGCCACTTTCTCCACTGGTCCTGAGGGGTTCATCCTTGCTGGATTCCCTGTGTTTCCAGTTCCCATCTGTACCAGTGTACATCCTCTGGTCTAGCTGTATTTGTGAGGTAGAATTGGGATCCTGATAGTGGGGGGGAGGAAGCATTTAAGAACTAGAGGAAAGTTGTATGTTTCATCTGTGCTACACTGCACCCTGACTGGCTCATCTCTTCCCTGAGACCTTTCTGTAAGGGGATGTCCAGTTGCCTACAGGGGTCCCCAATCTAAACTCCCCTTCATTCACAATGATATGATTTTTTTTGTTCTTTGATGACTGGTACCTGATCCTATAGACACCTCGTGATCACACGGGCTGATGTGCTTCTTCCATGTGGGCTTTGTTGCTTCTGAGCTAGATGGCCGCTTGTTTACTTTCAAGCCTTTAAGACCCCAGACTCTATATCTTTTGATAGCCGGGCACTATCAGCTTTCTTCACCACATTTGCTTATGCACCCGCTTTGTCTTCAGCAATCGTGTCAGGAAGGTGAGCATCATGAAATGCCAGGTTAATAGAACAAAGTGTTCTTGCATTGAGGGAGTACTTGAGTGGAGGCCCAATGTCCATCTGCTACCTTAATATTAAATCTATATGCACATAGATCTATTTCTCCATCATCATATAAATATAATTACATATGTACTTGCCTGTATTTAGACCTCTATAAATGCCCTGTGCCTCCTAGGTTTTTCCTCTATTTCCTTTGACTTTCCTCTTGACCCACTATCATGGGCCTTCATTTGGGTTTCAGTAATTCCTCTCGGTTACATTGTCCGTGTTCAAGCCCTACCAGGCCTCTTACACCCTCCTTGCCACTGATTTTGATCACTTGTTCCCATGTCTCTGGGTTTGTTAACACCACTTCCTTTCACCCACCTTCCCCTCTCCCATTTCTCTCCCGGAACCATTGGTCCCGCTGTTTTCTCCAGATTGTTCATCCAGCCTATCCTATGTAGGTAGACCAAGCCAAGTTTTTCAGCACATTTTTTATGCAGCTTTTGTGGTAAAATGAGGTGCCTCGGCTGATATTTGGGTCAATTTATACTCAAGTACATACAGTACTTATTATACAACCAATCGATTATATTCTTAGTGTCCAGGAGAAATGAAAACATGTTCACACAGTAAATGCACATGTATGATGTTCATGCATGTTCATCCCTACTTTGTTCAAAATGACTAGACTGGAAACCAACGAGGTGTTTATCAACTGGTAAATTGTTAAGCAAAATGTGATATATGTAGAATAGAGTACTGCTCTGCAATAAGAAAGGAATTACCTATTGACATGTAACAGTATGAGTGATTCTCAAATTAGTTAATGCTGGGTGAAAGAAGCCAGAGGAAAAAAAGAATATATTGCATTTAAAAATCTGGAAAACTAGAATGATGCAGTTCACTATTTGTGAGGGGGCAGGAGAAGGGGTACTGATTGTAAAAGGGGCATGAGGGAACTTTTTGAGGGGGTGAAAATGTTGTGTGTCATAATTCCCAAACTTATTAGGCCTACCAACCCCTTTGCACCCCACTCCCAACCCCCAGGGCACTGAAAAACTTTCGTATTATAGCCAATAATCCAGGATAAAATGTCAGTATCTGCTTTTGCAGCCCCCTCCGAATCATTCCAGTGGCCCTCCAGGGGACGGTGTGGCCCACTGTGGGAAACACTGCAATCTCATCGTTGTAGTGGAGTTAACATGCTGTTTGTATTGGCTGAAAGTGTATACTTAAAATGGGTGAATTTTGTCTTTTGTAATTTATACATGAGTGCTGATTTTAAAGAGAAAGAAAGACACAGTAACCCTGGTGGTACTGGTAGGTAAGCATTTAACTAACTTCAAGGTCAGCTGTTAAATCACCAGCAGCCCCATGGGAGAGAGATGAGGCAGGCTGCTACTATAAAGATTTATAGCCTCGGAAACCCCAGCTAGGGTTGCTGTGAGTTATAATTGACCAGAGGATGGCATTGTGGTTTATTTTTGGTTTTAAGTACTTTTTACAGTACTGACCAGTTGTATGCACCCTCTGATGAAGAATACAGACAATGGTGGATTACAGACAACTTACAGTTATGAGCCAATCCTCATGAAGCCTATTATATTTAAAATTAGAGGTACATTCAATAGTTTATGAAAACAAACAGGTACTGCTTTATGAAGTACATCAAAATATTATTGTGGGGGTGGGGTAGGCAGGGCTGAAAGGGAGCCAAAGAGTTCAGGAAGAAAAAGAAAGTTTGGAAATTGATTGTGGTAGTAACTGTGCAATACTGCTTGACGTGATTGAACTATGGAATGATATGGTATATGTATTAGCTCCCAATTAATAATAAATTACAATAGATATTAAAAGAACATTATTACTACTACTGCTGTGTTATGTTAAAGATGTTTTAATGCATGTGGGAGTTTGTCTTGAAATTTTTTTTATGCATAGAAAAGCATATACTGTGTCACATATACTAATTCAAACATTTGAATAGATACAACTGCACCTAACTTCTGGTATATGTACAAATTTGATTTAAAGACAGAGTAAGGAATGGAACTTGTTGGTAGTACAAGGACTACCTGTACTATATGCCATGCTATGACTAGGATTTAAACTGAATTCCTATTCCTTATGACTTTTAATGGATTATTAGTTTATGTGATAACTAAGTGTTGATCCCTCTTTCTTAGACAAACATATGAAAGATCTGCTGAATAAATTGTTGAACTCAAGATATTTTGAAAGTATCCCAGTTCCCCAAAAGGCTAAGGAAAAAGAAATATCAGCAGAGGAAGACATGCTGATAAAATCAGAGAAGAAAAAAGAATTAATGAAAACTGATTCTCTCACCAAGTCAGGTTTGTTTCGATTGCTAAAATCCTAAGAGTTGTTGGATTTTTAACAATTAACCAAAAATGAGTCAAATTTTTGTGAAATGCTTTCCTTATTTTAATTGGTTATAATTGTACATGAATGAAAATCTTGCTGGGGGACAAGACTAGGTTTAGAAAATATCTCTAGGCTCTCTCATCATGATTTACATAATAGAACTATAGTAGAAGCATTAGGTTCTACTTTGTTCCAACAGGGTACACTGGTTGAAAGGGGTGTATATGGAATTTGAATAAACATTCTTGCTGTACTGTAGTAGAGCAAGAATGCCAAATAGCACTTTAAAATACTGAGTTAGCCCTGCTCTCGCTTTACCAATAATGGTGCTCAGTAAAGTTCGCTGACTGCCTGCATGGCTGTTTCCCAAACAGGCATCGCCGAGCCTGACGTGCCATGACAGGGGATTTGTGTAGTGATTCATATGAATATTTCCCTGTTAGGGGTTTGCATCGTTTGCCTCCAACTGTTTAATCTCATGAAGCAGCACACTCACAATTTCAAATTATTTCTTGTGAGACCATCATTGCTTTGGGTGTTTTGTTTTCATTTGGAATCCAAGTTGCTAAAGCCCTACACTCCCAGCAGGTTTTGAGCCACCTGCGCTCAAAGAGGGGAGCCCGGGGGACCCAGGTCTACAGCCCTCATCCGCTAACTGGAAGGTTGGCGGTTCAAGCCCACTAGAAGCTGGTGGCAGGGAGCCCTGGCACTCCGTTTCTGTAAAGACTTAGAGCCCTGGAAACCCAACCAGGGTGCTAAGAGGGGGCAAAACAATACTGATTTAGAGAAACAAATTGCCAAAATAAGTAAAGGAAAGGATACCTCTCAAATTCCCATTTTCAAGGGAAGAAATAGTTGAGCAAATGATACTTTTGCATTTGCTTTTTAGGCTGGATTTAGGTAAATATATCTTTTAAAGAGAGAGGGAGCCCAGGCAAGGTTTAGATTGCCACTAGACGGATTCAGGTAATTTCCCATTTTCACTTCCTCCAGTTCTTTTTGGATCACAAACAACGTGTAATCAGTATCCCACCAGTGCTCCTTTTTCTCCAGTTCTTAATACTAAGCCCAGTGCTTTAATACAGTTGTCCCCACCATCCCTCAACCTTAACATGACTTGTGAGAGCCCCTTAAGGGCTGTATTTCAAAATTTGTCCCATAGGAGCTGTAATTCTAACTTGTGAAAAGCTATGCTTGTGGCTAAGAGGAAATAGTTTTATTTTCTGTCTAAAATGAAACTTCCACTGACTTAGCAAAGTGGTTTACATAAGAGAGCTACTACTTTCAGACCACATGTTTTTAATTCTGACAGTTAATATTCAGAATTATGCCTTCCGTGCTCTTCTTTTACTATTATCCTTCTGAGTCTTCTGAAAGACATTTGTATTACTGGAATGAATTATAGTTGACAGTCTAAAGGCTTATAGTTTGCTGAGCATTTATTTGGTGTTCTTTTTTATCGTTCCAGAATCTCTTTTGGAACTTGTACAGACAGAGATACAGCCACAAGAGGTAAAGTAATGAAATGTAATCGATGTTGGTTTTTGAGACTTGTTATAGCAGCATGGTTAAAAGCCAGGGCTTTGGAGCCAGGCTGCCTTTCTTTGAATCCAGTTTTGGTGGCTTACTAGTTCAGTGACTTTGGGTAATATATCTAGTTCAGCTCTGTCTGTTATCTTCCTAAGATGGGAATAATAATAATGCCTAACTATCTTAAGGAGTTATTGTGGAGAATTAAAGTAATTAGATTAAGTCTTAAATTTTATAGGATTTGACCAGTGCACACTTAACTTCTGGAGTGTCAGCTACTAATGTTTGCTGTTACTGGATCCTGTGTTAGAATTTAAAAATGAGCATAACTTTGCTCTTTAGAACTTACATTAGTAGCAGAATAGGGACCTTTTACTGAAGTGAACAGAAAATAATGGAAAGGGAGCAAAAATGGAGAGGCAGAAGCACAGTGTGACTGATCCACAGGGGAAATAAAGAAAAGGCTGGCAATTCAGAAAACATAAATCTTAAGGTTAATTAGTATAACTTTATATAGTTGCGACTATCCTCTGTCTTAACATTTAGGGAGTCAGCTGGATAGCATGGCCCTATTAACAAAGACTCAGTACCCTTACTGGCACCATGATGTGGAGTCATCATGAGTCTTAGGGTAAGTCACACATAGCATTCTACCTTTAAAACATCGAAGTGTGAATTTTCAATGAGGGAAAAAGGACGAACAAGTAGGGCGACCTGATCTCTTCATTTAGGGTAAGGAGGGAAGTTTCATGTTAGTACAACTCCAGCCAACTAACATAGGAATCATTGTGGAGCTGAATTTCCCCCCAAAGTCTTCTGCTCATTCAAAACAATTGATAAATTATCAAAGGTTCATGAGGGAGGGGGGAGGGGGGGAGAATGAGGAGCTGATGCCAAGGGCTTAGGGAGAGAGCAAATGTTTTGAGAATGACGAGGGCAATGAATGTACAAATGTGCTTTACACAATTGATGTATGTATGGATTGTGATAAGAGTTGTATGAGCTCTAATAAAACAATTAAAAACAAAGAAACAAAAAAACCCAAAGTCTTCTGCTCATTACGACTCAAGCATATTTTCCCTCTGTGCTTAGTTTCTTAACAGACGCTACTTGACAGAAGTAGATTATTCAAGCAAACAAGAGGAAGAGCTTTCCTGGGAAGAAGATTATGCTAGAGAACCAAATCTCTGCAAATGTTGGGCTATGCTTATAGAACCAGATAGTCAGGAGAAGAAACAGGAATCCTTCAAGTCTTGGGAGTCTCCTGTGAAGCACCAGGATTTATCAAACTCTGCTGTTTCCATAGAAGAGAGGAAACAAGAGATTCCAAAACTCGGGTTCACTCTGCAGGAAGAGCAGAAGAGGCAGGAGGCTTCCAAACCCAAGCCAACTCTGGGCCAGTGGCAGCAGGAAACTCTTAAGTCCAAAGTAGGATATATTCAAGGGGAGCCAATGAAGCTGGAGACACCAAAGCCTTGGGTAGCTCAGATGCAGAAAGAAGAGGATCCAGAGATGCCAGCGTCAAAGCCTTGGACATCATGGACCATTCCCATATGTGAAGAACAGGATTCAAGACAGTCAGAGCCACTAACACCCTGGGAAGACAGGGTTGAGAGTCCAAAACACTCTTTAACACTTCGGTCACAAATTACTGCAAAGTCCTGGGGAGGAACTACAGCAAGCCTCATTCCAAATGACCAGCTCCTGCCCAGGAAATTTAATACAGACCCCAAAGATGTGAGTTGATCACTGTCAGTCTGCTTCCGTCAGTGTTGTTATCGGTAAAGAGTTGCAGTCATGGTAACTTTTTGGTTCCCTTGGGGAAAAAATTCAGCAAAGCTTTTGTTAAATTGATGTATGAAGTATTTTACTTAACTTTTTAACAGGTAGATTAGTTATTTTCTCCTAGCACATTGGAAGATAAATCTTTCCTTGACAGATTTGAAACCTATGATTGCATTTGCACAATTAGAATATATTTTAGTGCCACAATTTGAATGGCATGATGTGACATTAAAACAGTGGTTCAGAGAAGACCATAATGTGAGCAGGTGAGTAATGTAAATGTCTTTGCAGGATGGGAGACGTGTTATAGTTTAGTCAATATCTCTGCTTGGCACCTGGGTGACTTTTTTTCTCACAAAAGTTGCATTTTTGTGTGGTCTCTTGAGCCTCTTTCACTCATTTGTAGCCACTGTGAGGTGATTCTCGACTCTTAGTGAAAAAGTACACAGTTGCAGATATTCCAGTAGTTGGAGGGAGGATCTGAATTCTTACCATTTCAAAACAAGAATTTTCTGAGCTAGGAAACTATAACAAACTTAGTGCCATTGAGTCCAACTCAGCGAGCCTATAGGGCAGAGGGGAACTACCCCTGTGCGTTTCTGAGGCTGTAACTGTTTGCAGGAATACAAAGTCTGTCTTTTCTCTTGGCTGGTGGCTGGTGGTTTTTGACTGCCGATCTTGCGGATTACAGCCCAACATATTTGGCTCCTGTTGGAAACTGTAGGCATTAATTGTTTTGTTGCTCAATTTTGAAGTACAAGTTACAGTTAAAACTTTTTTTTTAGAACATG